TTGCTTGGTCCAGAAGCGTGCCTGATCCAAGAGCTTGCGTGGCCGAGGAGCGTGCCTGGTCCACGAGCGTGCCTGGTCAAGGAGCTTGAGTGGTCGAGGAGCTTGCCTGATCCAGGAGCTTGCCTTGTCCAAGAGCTTGCCTGGTCTAGGAGCGTGCGTGGTCCAAGAGCTTGCGTGGTTAAGGAGCTTGCTAGGTCTAGGAGCATGCAAGGTCCAGGTGCGTGCCTGGTCCACGAGCCTGCCTGGTCCTGGAGCTTGCCTGGTCAAGGAGCTTGCCTGGTCCAGGAGCTTGCCTGGTCCAGGAGCTTGCCTTGTCCATGAGCTTGCCTGGTCTAGGAGCTTGCCTGGTCGAGGAGCTTGCCTGGTCTAGGAGCTTGCCTGGTCCAGGAGCTTGCCTAGTCCTGGAGCTTGCCTGGTCCAGGAGCGTGCCTGGTCCACGAGCTTGCCTGGTCCAGGAGCTTGCCTGGTCCAAGAGCTTGCCTGGTCCAAGAGCTTGCGTGGTCTAGGAGCTTTCCTGGTCCAGGAGCTTGCCTGGTCCAGGAGCGTGCCTGGTCTAGGAGCTTGCCTGGTCCAGGATCTTGCCTGGTCCTGGAGCGTGCTTGGTCCAGAAGCTTGCCTGGTCCAGAAGCTTGCCTGGTCTAGGATTTTGCCTCGTCCAGGATCGTGCCTAGTCCAAGAGCTTGCCTGGTCCAGGAGCTTGCGTGGTCTAGGAGCATGCCTGGTCCAAAATCTTGCCTGGTCTAGGAGCTTGCCTGGTCCAGGAGCTTGCCTGGTCCACGAGCCTTGGTTCAGGAGCTTGCCTGGTCCAGGAGCTTGCCTGGTCTAGGAGCATGCCTGGTCCAAAATCTTGCCTGGTCCAGGAGCTTGCCTGGTCCAGGAGCGTGCCTGGTCCACGAGCTTGCCTGGTCCAGGAGCTTGCCTGGTCTAGGAGCTTGCCTGGTCCAGGAGCTTGCCTGATCCAGGAGCTTGCCTGGTCCAGGAGCTTGCCTGGTCTAGGAGCTTGCCTGGTCCAGGAGCTTGCCTGGTCCAAGAGCTTGCCTGGTCCAGGAGCGTGCCTGGTCCACGAGCTTGCCTGGTCTAGGAGCTTGCCTGGTCCAGGAGCTTGCCTGGTCCACGAGCCTTGGTTCAGGAGCTTGCCTGGTCCAGGAGCTTGCCTGGTCTAGGAGCATGCCTGGTCCAAAATCTTGCCTGGTCCTGGAGCGTGCCTGGTCCACGAGTTTGCCTGGTCCAGGAGCTTGCCTTGTCCATGAGCTTGCCTGATCTAGGAGCTTGCCTGGTCCAAGAGCTTGCCTGGTCTAGGAGCTTGCGTGGTCCAGGAGCTTGCCTAGTCCAAGAGCTTGCCTGGTCCAGGAGCGTGCGTGGTCCACGAGCTTGCCTGGTCTAGGAGCATGCCTTGTCCAGGAGCTTGCCTGGTCCAAGAGCTTGCCTGGTCCAAGATCTTGCGTGGTCCAGCAGCTTGCTTAGTCCAAGAGCTTGCCTGGTCCAGGAGCGTGCCTGGTCTAGGAGCTTGCCTGGTCCAGGATCTTGCCTGGTCCAGGAGCGTGCCTGGTCCACGAGTTTGCCTGGTCCAGAAGCTGGCCTGGTTCAGGAGCTTGCCTGGTCTAGGAGCTTGCCTGGTCCAGGAGCGTGCATGGTCCAAGAGCTTGCCTGGTCCAGGAGCTTGCGTGGTCTAGGAGCATGCCTGGTCCAAAATCTTGCCTGGTCCAGGAGCGTGCCTGGTGTACGAGTTTGCCTGGTCTAGGAGCTTGCCTTCTCCATGAGCTTGCCTGGTCTAGGAGCTTGCCTAGTCCAGGAGCTTGCTTGGTCTAGGAGCTTGCCTCGTCCATGAGCTTGCCTAGTCCAGGAGCTTGCCTGGTCCAAGAGCATGCCTGGTCCACGAGCTTGCCTGGTCTAGGAGCTTGCCTTGTCCAGGAGCTTGCCTGGTCCAAGAGCTTGCCTGGTCCAAGAGCTTGCGTGGTCCAGGAGCTTGCCTGGTCGGGGAGCTTGCCTGGTCCAGGAGCGCGCCTGGTCTAGGAGCTTGCCTGGTCCAGGATCTTGCCTGGTCCAGGAGCGTGCCTGGTCCACGAGTTTGCCTGGTCCAGAAGCTTACCTCGTCCAGGAGCTTGCCTGGTCTAGGAGCTTGCCTGGTCCAGGAGCGTGCCTGGTCCAAGAGCTTGCCTGGTCCAGGAGCTTACCTGATCCAGGAGCTTGCCTGGTCCAGGAGCTTGCCTTGTCCATGAGCTTGCCTGGTCCAGGAGCTTGCATGGTCTAGGAGCTTGCCTGGTCTAGGAGCATGCTTGGTCCAAAGTCTTGCCTAGTCCAGGAGCGTGCCTGGTCCACGAGTTTGCCTGGTCCAGGAGCTTGCCTAGTCTAGCAGCTTGCCTGGTCTAGGAGCTTGCCTGTTCCAGGAGCGTGCCTGGTCCAGGAGCTGCCTGGTCCAGGAGCTTGCCTTGTCCAGGAGCTTGCCTAGTCCAGGAGCGTGCCTGGTCCACGAGCCTGCCTGGTCCAAGAGCTTGCCTGGTCTAAGAGCTTGCCTGGTCCAGGAGCTTGCCCCTTCCAGGAGCGTGCCTAGTCCAAGAGCTTGCCAAGTCCAGGAGCTTGCCTGGTCCAGGAGCATGCGTGGTCCAAGAGCTTGCTTGGTCAACGAGCTTGCCTGGTCCATGAGCTCGCATGTTCCAGAAGCTTGCCTGGTCCAGGAGCTTGCCTGGTCCAAGAGCTTGCCTGGTCTAGGAGCGTGCCTGCTCCAAGAGCTTGCCTGGTCTAGAAGCTTGCCTGTTCTAGGAGCTTGCTTGGTCGTGGAGCTTGCCTGGTCCAAGAGCTTGCCTGGTCGAAGAGCTCACCTAGTCCAGGAGCTTGCCTGGTCCAGGAGCTTGCCTGATCCAAGAGCTTGCCTGGTCCACGAGATTTCCTGGTCCAAGAGCTTGCCTGGTCCAGGAGCTTGCCTGGTCTAGGAGCGTGCCTGGTCCAGGAGCTTGCGTTGTCCAGGAGCTTGCCTTGTCCAGGAGCTTGCCTGGTCCATGAGCCTGCCTGGTCCAAGAGCTTGCCTGGTCCAAGAGTGTGCCTGGTCCACGAGCGTGCCTGGCCCAGGAGCTTGCCTGTTCCAGGAGCTTTCCTGGTCGAGGAGCTTGCCTGGTCCAGGAGCTTGCCTGGTCGAGGAGCTTGCCTGGTCCAGGAGCTTGCAAGGGCCAGGAGCGTGCATGGTCTAGGAGCTTGCCTGGTCCAGGAGCTTGCTTGGTCCAGAAGCCTACCTGGTCCAAGAGCTTGACTGGTCGAGGAGCATGCCTGGTCCAAGAGCTTGCGTGGTCCACGAACTAGCCTGGTCCAGGAGCTTGCTTGGTCAAGAAGCGTGCCTGGTCCTAGAGCTTGTGTGGTCCACGAGCTTGGCTGGTCCAAGAGCTTGCATGGTCCAGAAGCCTGCCTGGTCCAAGAGCTTGACTGGTCGAGGAGCGTGCCTGGCCCAGGAGCTTGCGTGGTCCAAGAGCTTGCCTGGTCCATGAGCGTGCCTGGTCCAACAGCTCGCGTGGTCCAAGAGCTTGCTTGGTTCAGGAGCTTGCGTGGTCTAGGAGCGTGCCTGGTCCACAAGCTTGCCTGGTGCACGAGCGTGCCTAGTCCACGAGCTTGCGTGGTCCAGGAGCTTGCCCGATCCAGGAGCTTGCCTAGTCGAGGAGCTTGCCTGGTCCATGAGCTTGCCTGGTCTAGGAGCTTGCCTGGTCCATGAGCTTGCCTGGTCCAGGAGCTTGCCTGGTCCAGGAGCTTGCCTGGTCCAGGAGCTTACCTGGTCCAGGAGCTTGCCTGGTCCATGAGCTTGCCTGGTCCAGGAGCTTGCCTGGTCCAGGAGCGTGCGTGGTCCACGAGCTTGCCTGGTCTAGGAGCTTGCCTGGTCCAAGAGCTTGCCTGGTCTAAGAGCTTGCCTGGTCCAAGAGCTTGCGTGGTCCTGGAGCTTGCCTGGTCCAGAAGCTTGCCTGGTCCAGGAGCGTGCCTGGTCTAGGAGCTTACCTGGTCCAGGATCTTGCCTGGTCCAGTTGCGTGCCTCGTCCACGAGTTTGCCTGGTCTAGGAGCTTGCCTGGTCCAGGAGCTTGCCTAGTCTAGGAGCTTGCCTGGTCCAGGAGCGTGCCAGGTCCAGGAGCTTGCCTGGTCCAGGAGCTTGCCTTGTCCAGAAGCTTGCCTGGTCCAGGAGCGTGCCTAGTCTACGAGCCTGCCTGGTCCAAGAGCTTGCCTGGTCTAAGAGCTTGCCTGGTCAAGGAGCTTGCCCGTTCCAGGAGCGTGCCTGGTCCAAGAGCTTGCTAAGTCAAAGAGCTTGCTTGGTCCTGGAGCTTGCCTGGTCCAGGAGCTCGCCTGGTCCAGGAGCATGCGTGGTCCAAGAGCTTGACTGGTCCAGGAGCTTGCCTGGTCCACGAGCTTGCATGTTCCAGAAGCTTGCCTGGTCCAGGAGCTTGCCCGGTCCAAGAGCTTGCCTGGTCCAGGAGCGTGCCCGCTCCAAGAGCTTGCCTAGTCTAGAAGGTTGCCTTATCTAGGAGCTTGCCTCGTCCAGGAGCTTTCCAGGTTCAAGAGCTTACCTGGTCCAGGAGCATGCCTGGTCTAGGAGCTTTCCTGGTCCAGGAGCTCGCATGGTCCAAGAGCTTGCCTAGTCCAGGAGCTTGCTTGGTCCAGGAGCTTGCCTGGTCCAAGAGCTTGCCTGGTCCACGAGATTTCCTCGTCCAAGAGCTTGCCTGGTCCAGGAGCTTGCCTGGTCAAGGAGCGTGCCTGGTCCACGAGCTTGCCTTGTCCAGGAGCTTGCCTGGTCCAGGAGCGTGCCTGGTCCACGAGCTTGCCTGGTCCAAGAGCTTGCCTGGTCCAAGAGCGTGCCTGGTCCGCGAGCGTGCCTGGCCCAGGAGCTTGCCTGGTCCAAGAGCTTGCCTGGTCCAGGAGCTTGCCTGGTGCAGGAGCTTGCCTGGTCTAGGGGCTCGCCTGGTCTAGGAGCTTGCCTGGTCTAGGAGCTTGCCTGGTCAAGGTGCGTGTGTGGTCCACGAGCTTGCCTGGTCTAGGAGCTTGCCTTGTCCGGGAGCTTGCCTGGTCCAAGAGCTTGCCAGGTCCAAGAGCTTGCATGGTCCAGGAGCTTGCCTGGTCCAAGAGCTTGCCTGGTCCACGAGCGTGCCTGGTCTAGGAGCTTGCCTGGTCCAGGATCTTGCCTGGTCCAGAAGCTTGCCTGGTTCAGGAGCTTGCCGGGTCTAGGAGCTTGCCTGGTCCAGGAGCGTGCATGGTCCAAGAGCTTGCCTGGTCCAGGAGCTTGCCTGGTCCAGGAGCTTGCCTGGTCCAGGAGCGTGCCTGGTCCACGAGCCTGCCTGGTCCAGGAGCTTGCCTCGTCCAAGAGCTTGCCTGGTCTAGGAGCATGCCTGGTCTAAAATCTTGCGTGGTCCAGGAGCTTGCCCGGTCCAAGAGCTTTCCTGGTCCAGTAGCTTGCCTGGTCTAGGAGCTTGCCTGGTCCAGGAGCGTGCCTGGTCCAGGACCTTGCCTAGTCCAGGAGCTTGCTTGGTCCAGAAGCCTGCCTGGTCCAAGAGCTTGCCTAGTCGAGGAGCGTACCTGGAACAAGAGATTGCGTGGTCCAGGAGCTTGCCCGGTCGAGGAGCTTGCTTGGTCCAGAAGCATGCCTGATCCAAGAGCTTGACTAGTCCAGGGGTGATGGAAAGCGGGAGAATGGAGCGGGGTGATGGAAAGCGGGAGAATGGGACGGGGTGATGGAAGGAGGGAGAATGGGGCGAGGTGATGGAAAGAGGGAGAATGGGGCGTGGTGATGGAAAGCGGGAGAACGGGGCGGGGTGATGGAAAGAGGGAGAATGGGGCGGGGAATGGAAAGCGGGAGAATGGGGCGGGGTGATGGAAAGCGGGAGAATGGAGCGGGGTGATGGAAAGCGGAAGAATGGGGCGGGGTGATGGAAAGCGGGAGAATGGAGCGGGGGTGATGGAAAGAGGGAGAATGGGGCGGGGTGATGGAAGGCGGGAGAATGGGGCGGGGTGATGGAAAGAGGGTGAATGGGGCGGGGTGATGGAAAGAGGGAGAATGGGGCGGGGTGATGGAAAGCGGGAGAATGGGGCGGGGTGATGGAAAGCCGGAGAATGGGGCGGGGTGATGGAAGAGGGAGAATGGGGAGGGGTAATGGGAAGAGGGAGAATTGGGCGGGGGTGATGGAAAGCGGTAGAATGGAGCGGGGTGATGGAAAGCGGGAGAATGGGGCGGGGTGATGGAAAGCGGGAGAATGGGGCGGGGTGATGGAAAGCGGGAGAATGGGGCGGGGTGATGGAAAGAGGGAGAATGGGGCGGGCTGATGCAAAGAGGGAGAATGGGGCGGGGTGATGGAAAGTGGGACAATGGGGAGGGGTGATGGAAATCGGGAGAATGGGGCGGGGTGATGGAAAGTGGGAGAATGGGGCGGGGTGATGGAAAGGGGGAGAATGGGGCGGGGTGATGGAAAGCGGGAGAATGGGGCGGGGTGATTGAAAGTGGGAGACTGGGGCGGGGTGATGGAAAGACGGAGAATAGGGCGGGGTGATGGAAAGCGGGAGAACAGGGAGGGGTGATGGAAAGAGGGAGAATGGGGCGGGGTGATGGAAAGAGGGAGAATGGGGCGGGGTGATGGAAAGCGGGAGAATGGGGCGGGTGATGGAAAGCGGGAGAATGGAGCGGGGTGATGGAAAGCGGGAGAATGGGGCGGGGTGATGGAAAGCAGGAGAATGGAGCGGGGTGATGGAAAGAGGGAGAATGGGGCAGGGTGATGGAAAGCGGGAGAATGGGGCGGGGTGATGGAAAGAGGGAGAATGGGACGGGGTGATGGAAAGCGGGAGAATGGGGCGAGGTGATGGAAAGAGAGAGAATGGGGAGGGGTAATGGGAAGAGGGACAATTGGGCGGGGTGATGGAAAGCGGGAGAATGGAGCGGGGTGATGGAAAGTGGGAGAATTTGGCGGGGTGATGGAAAGCGGGAGAATGGGGCGGGGTGATGGAAAGCGGGAGAATGGGGCGGGACGATGGAAAGAGGGAGAATGGGGAGGGGTAATGGGAAGAGGGAGAATTGGGCGGGGTGATGGAAAGCGGGAGAATGGAGCGGGGTGATGGAAAGCGGGAGAATGGGGCGGGGTGATGGAAAGCGGGAGAATGGGGCGGGGTGATGGAAAGCGGGAGAATGGGGCGGGGTGATGGAAAGAGGGAGAATGGGGCGGGCTGATGCAAAGAGGGAGAATGGGGCGGGGTGATGGAAAGTGAAACAATGGGGAGGGGTGAAGGAAATCGGGAGAATGGGGCGGGGTGATGGAAAGTGGGAGAATGGGGCGGGGTGATGGAAAGGGGGAGAATGGGGCGGGGTGATGGAAAGCGGGAGAATGGGGCGGGGTGATTGAAAGTGGGAGACAGGGGCGGGGTGATGGAAAGACGGAGAATAGGGCGGGGTGATGGAAAGCGGGAGAACGGGGAGGGGTGATGGAAAGAGGGAGAATGGGGCGGGGTGATGGAAAGAGGGAGAATGGGGCGGGGTGATGGAAAGCGGGAGAATGGGACGGGTGATGGAAAGAGGGAGAATGGGGCGGGGTGATGGAAAGCGGGAGAATGGGGCGGGTGATGGAAAGCGGGAGAATGGAGCGGGGTGATGGAAAGCGGGAGAATGGGGCGGGGTGATGGAAAGCAGGAGAATGGAGCGGGGTGATGGAAAGAGGGAGAATGGGGCGGGGTGATGGAAAGCAGGAGAATGGAGCGGGGTGATGGAAAGAGGGAGAATGGGGCGGGGTGATGGAAAGCGGGAGAACGGGGAGGGGTGATGGAAAGAGGGAGAATGGGGCGGGGTGATGGAGAGTGGGAGAATGGGGCGGGATGATGGAAAGGGGGAGAATGGGGCGGGGTGATGGAAAGCGGGAGAATGGGGCGGGGTGATTGAAAGTGGGAGACTGGGGCGGGGTGATGGAAAGACGGAGAATAGGGCGGGGTGATGGAAAGCGGGAGAACGGGGAGGGGTGATGGAAAGAGGGAGAATGGGGCGGGGTGATGGAAAGAGGGAGAATGGGGCGGGGTGATGGAAAGCGGGAGAATGGGGCGGGTGATGGAAAGAGGGAGAATGGGGCGGGGTGATGGAAAGCGGGAGAATGGGGCGGGTGATGGAAAGCGGGAGAATGGAGCGGGGTGATGGAAAGCGGGAGAATGGGGCGGGGTGATGGAAAGAGGGAGAATGGGACGGGGTGATGGAAAGCGGGAGAATGGGGCGGGGTGATGGAAAGAGGGAGAATGGGGAGGGGTAATGGGAAGAGGGAGAATTGGGCGGGGTGATGGAAAGCGGGAGAATGGAGCGGGGTGATGGAAAGTGGGAGAATTCGGCGGGGTGATGGAAAGCGGGAGAATGGGGCGGGGTGATGGAAAGAGAAGAATTGGGTGGGGTGATGGATAGAGGGAGAATGGGGCGGGGTGATGGAAAGCGGGAGAATTGGGCGGGGTGATGGATAGAGGGAGAATGGGGCAGGGTGATGGAAAGAGGGAGAATGGGGCGGGGTGATGGAAAGCGGGGAGAATGGGGCGGGGTGATGGAAAGCGGGAGAATGGGGCGGGACGATGGAAAGAGGGAGAATGGGGAGGGGTAATGGGAAGAGGGAGAATTGGGCGGGGTGATGGAAAGCGGGAGAATGGAGCGGGGTGATGGAAAGCGGGAGAATGGGGCGGGGTGATGGAAAGCGGGGAGAATGGGGCGGGGGTGATGGAAAGCGGGAGAATGGGGCGGGGTGATGGAAAGAGGGAGAATGGGGCGGGCTGATGCAAGAGGGAGAATGGGGGCGGGGTGATGGAAAGTGAAACAATGGGGAGGGGTGATGGAAATCGGGAGAATGGGGCGGGGTGATGGAAAGTGGGAGAATGGGGCGGGGTGATGGAAAGGGGGAGAATGGGGCGGGGTGATGGAAAGCGGGAGAATGGGGCGGGGTGATTGAAAGTGGGAGACTGGGGCGGGGTGATGGAAAGACGGAGAATAGGGCGGGGTGATGGAAAGCGGGAGAACGGGGAGGGGTGATGGAAAGAGGGAGAATGGGGCGGGGTGATGGAAAGAGGGAGAATGGGGCGGGGTGATGGAAAGCGGGAGAATGGGACGGGTGATGGAAAGAGGGAGAATGGGGCGGGGTGATGGAAAGCGGGAGAATGGGGCGGGTGATGGAAAGCGGGAGAATGGAGCGGGGTGATGGAAAGCGGGAGAATGGGGCGGGGTGATGGAAAGCAGGAGAATGGAGCGGGGGTGATGGAAAGAGGGAGAATGGGGCAGGGTGATGGAAAGCGGGAGAATGGGGCGGGGTGATGGAAAGAGGGAGAATGGGGCGGGGTGATGGAAAGCGGGAGAATGGGGCGGGGTGATGGAAAGAGGGAGAATGGGGAGGGGTAATGGGAAGAGGGAGAATTGGGCGGGGTGATGGAAAGCGGGAGAATGGAGCGGGGTGATGGAAAGTGGGAGAATTTGGCGGGGTGATGGAAAGCGGGAGAATGGGGCGGGGTGATGGAAAGAGAAGAATTGGGTCGGGTGATGGATAGAGGGAGAATGGGGCGGGGTGATGGAAAGCGGGAGAATTGGGCGGGGTGATGGATAGAGGGAGAATGGGGCAGGGTGATGGAAAGAGGGAGAATGGGGCGGGGTGATGGAAAGCGGGAGAATGGGGCGGGGTGATGGAAAGCGGGAGAATGGGGCGGGGTGATGGAAAGAGGGAGAATGGGGCGGGCTGATGGAAAGAGGGAGAATGGGGCGGGGTGATGGAAAGCGGGAGAATGGGGCGGGGTGATGGAAATCGGGAGAATGGGGCGGGGTGATGGAAAGAGGGAGAATGGGGTGGGGTGATAGAAAGCGGGAGAATGGGGCGAGATGATGGAAAGAGGGAGAATGGGGAGGGGTGATGAAAAGAGGGAGAATTGGGCGGGGTGATGAAAGCGGGAGAATGGAGCGGTGTGATGGAAAGCGGGAGAATGGGGCAGGGTCATGGAAAGCGGGAGAATGGGGCGGGGGAATGGAAAGAGGGAGAATGGGGCGGGGTGATGGAAAGCCGGAGAATGGGACGGGGTGATGGAAAGCGTGAGAATTGGGCGGGCTGATGGAAAGAGGAGGAATGGGGCGGGGTGATGGAAAGCGGGAGAATGGGTCGGGGTGATGGAAG